CTGGAAACTCTCATGTTCCTGAAATATTAAGACATATATCCGGTCTTCCCTTTCCATGAGACCATTTAACTGCAGCCTGGCTTGCCGTGTTCCCAGGCATTGGAATCATCAGGGTCCCCCCTGACGTTTGTTTACGAAACCCCGGCCAGACAGCTGCTTCACTGTAAGCTCAGGGTGGAACTGTTCTCAGGGATACTCGCAAGGCCTCGTCAGAAGCTAAAAGTAGCAGCTGGCTCAAGACATTCCTTAGCTGGTTCTCCCCTCTCCTAAGGGAACGTTTCACAGTGATGCTGCCCACTTCAGTGAGCGTTCTTTGCATCAACAAAAGAAATTGGTTAATGAATGTACTAGTTAGAACAAAAGGTTTGACATGTTAAGTTGACTAGTTTGTTACCTTTCACCAGGAAAGGGAAGTCCAAGTGCTGTCTTCCCTGTTACACAGAATGTTTGTTCCTGATGGTTTCTGGCAAGAGAAGTGTATTGTGTAGATGGGTCCTTCACCAGCACCAAAGGAAAAGACAGAATTTACTTTTTCCTAGTCCTGTATTTTCCCAACCTTTCCAGTCTTCCATTTTCTTTCTTCTTTCTTTCTTTTTTTTTGAGTCTATGTCACCTTGGGAGAGTGCTGTGGTATCACAGCTCACACTAGCCTGTAACTCTTGTGCTTAAGAGATTCCACAACGCCTAGCTATTTTTGTTGTTGTTGTTGCAGTTGTCATTGTTGTTTTAGTAGGCTGGGGCTGGGTTCGAACCACCTGCGTTGGTGTATGTGGCCAGGACCCTAACCACTGAGCTATGGGCGCCGAGCCCTATTTTCTTTCAAGGTGCCTCTCTCTACCTAACTCATTCCTTAATTAACCTCAATTTATTATACATTCTAATGTTTTTGTCTCCCGAAAAATAATGGAATTAAATGGTCACTTGGTAATTAACCATTTTGCTTAAACAGCATTGATTTCCTCCTTCTGCATGAGGTTCCACTAGCACTCCTTGCCAAGCTCAGATCGCCAGTTCCTTCATTGCTGTGGGTTACCCAGGCTCCTCCTTCCCATCCTGTTGTCTGCCATTTGGCCAATCCGCCCTTCACCAGGAGAAAGGAACAAAATTCAAATCTATGATCTGTGCTTTCTGTAAGAAGCAATGTGTTGGGAAGAACACACTGGAGTTGCAATGAGATTGGAAGATAATTGATGGACCCATCTTTCTATACATGAGGTAACTTAGGTGGGATCTCTTGGGATAATTAATAGCATAGTATTTGCAAGTACATACCCATTTGACTCAGGTCTTATAACCAGATCATAACACTCAAAGGACACTCCATATTCTAGTTCTTAGGCAGGCTGTGCTGCTGTGAGATCCTTTAAGGATCCCAGCAGTTAACAGTTAATCCTGGCTTCTAAGAGGTGAGGTCAGGATGGATTTGACCTTCTGAAGGCACCAGATATCCCACTGACTTTCAGATATGCCAAGCATCTTTTAGAGAAGAGAGCTTTTTATCTTTAACAAAGAAATTTCCATCACTTGAATAATGCAAATATTTTAAAAGCCAAATGGCAAACGCATTGTCTAAATTAAAACCACCTCTCAACTATCCATGAGGATGATGTTACCAGGGCAAAATCCGCAACTTCTAGGATATGCCTGAGTCATCGTGGTTCATGTTTGTTTTTAATACAGTGGAGTCTTTTTATAATGTTGGTTTGGGAAGGAGTGACAATCTAGCTTTACAGCCAAGAAAGTACTTTTCTGTACTTGGTCTGGAAGAATTTACAGCCAATATCTGTTATAAACTGTTTAAAGATGGTAGCCTACTCTATTTAAGTGAAACAGAAGGTAAAGATGCTGGGAAGGATGAAAAGTGGTTTAAGAGGCCACGCATGGTGGCTCACACCTTTAATCCTAGAAATTTGGGAGGCTGAGACAGGAGGATCGCTTGAGCCCAGGAGTTTAGGACCAATCTCACCACAGTGAGACCTGGAATCTACAAAAGTAAAATTAGCTGGGGATGGTGGCACCTGTCTGTAGTCCCAGCTACCTGGGAGCCTCAGCAGGAAGCGGAGTGTGATGGGCAGTGAGTTATGATGATGCCACCGTACTCAGCCTGGGTGACAGAGCAAGTCCCTGTCTTCAGAACAAAAAAAAAGTATAAGAGGTAGTCTGGAATTATTTGCTGTTTTATAGCTCTTATCTATTAGTTTAGAGTTGCTGATTATATTTAAATTGCTCCTTTTGGAAGACATATACCCTCCCTTCATGAGAGTCTCATTATAATTAACTCATAATCTGTATGGATAAGTGTGTATGTTTATATGTGATTCAACTTGTTTCCATTGTAATATGAATCCTTAAAAACCCATTCCAAAACATTAAAAGTAATAGCATTACTGGAAGATTTATTTCCCAGTGATGGCCTTCCTACTGCACGTCAAGTATTTCTAACGTTTTGCCCATATCAGATTGAGACCCAGCCCTACTGTGTTGTGT